TGAAAAAAAAATGTGGGATTGCAGTACTGTCAAAGCTCTTTGTCTGCCTCAGGATGCCTTCTCTACTTCCCAGGCAGCTTGTTGATCCTGGTGTTGCTCTCTCCTTGAGCTGTGTGCTGCTCATCATCAGGGACAGTCTCTGGATTTCACTAATTGATTTCCAAATTGTGGGAGATCCGTCTTGAGGTGCCGTTTGCTTGAACAACCTGCAGCTTTGACAAGATTTTCATTCAATTACTCTTGGTTGATCTTTCACATGGGGACTAGGTCCAAGATTCCTCAGGAGTTATAAATAGGTATGTTTGGAGCAAGGTAAGATTAGTCCAGGCCATCTGGCATGTCAACTACCAGCTCTTACCAGCACAGCAGGGCAGAATGGATTCAGAGTTGAAACTGGGGGAGCCGAAACATCCTGCTCACTCAGAAATTCTGTCTGGATTCTAAGAAGCAGTGGAGAGAGCGAGGTGGGTGTTGCTTGAGCTGTGGAGATTCTAAGATGGCATTCCAAAGGGAGAATAGCACACTAGCAAACTCTCCAGTGGTGACTCATTTACCCCGATAAGTAATTAAGAGAGTGAATGACTACAAGACCTGTGGACACAGCCTTGCAGGTTTCCTGAATGTCTATTTCATTGATGGTGTGGTATTTTCTAAGAATTTTCTGTTAATCATCGCCAAGGTGCCCTTTTGAGTCTTCATCTTGTTCTGTGCTTCTTGACATGTTTTGAAAACAGGTTAACTTCTTCCACGTGGCGTGAAGCTCAGGGAAGGAACAGAAGGGGCACCTGTCAGAGGTCACAGCCTTTGCTGTGATTGAGACAGAGCAGTAAGCAGAATGGGGGTCAGGAGGGGCTGTGAGGAGCCCACACTGCACTTACAAAATACATGTTACATTATTCTACGTCCCCCAAACTAAATATCAGTGTGCTATTGGCTGTCCGGGTCTAGAAAACACTACTGTGTTTTTGCCTGTTAGTCTTCTTAACCAGGACATCCGTATTGCAAATATTCAGAGCACAGAGTTCCCTCTCCTTCCGGAGTAGACAGCCTCCACATTCATGGCTCCCCGTTGACAGACTCTGCCAGCTGCTAATGTATACTATCTAGGAAAACAAAAACAAACCAAACCCCAAGCAACCATACTGGACACATATAGATGTGCTCTTAGTCATGAGCCCCCAAATATCACGGTGTAAACACTATCCGCATTTGCGTTGTATAGGGGTGGGTCATGGATATTGTGGACATGATTTAAGGTTTACTGGAGGATGTGTGGAGGTTCTGTGCAAATACTATGTAGTTTTGTGTAAGGATCCTGGCCATCTGCAGATTTTGCTCTCTAGTTACTGAAGATGTGGAGACCCTTATTCTTTAAGTCTCATTCTTAAGGTCATGACCTCACTTACTGATAAATACACAAGCTGCTTGTGAGCTCTGGGGATTTCTGCCTCGCTGATGACATGTGACAAAATGACCTGTACAAAGTTGCACGGCCAGCATTAGCTTTTCTCAGCAACCTGCTTTTCAGCAGGTTTGGAGTCTTATCTGACTTGTGATCTTTGTCCCTGATCTAATATTATTGTGACTCTGAACCTTTATCCACTGATGTTATTGCTTGTCTTAGATAATGAATCCTCTAAACTTAATGTGGATGTCTTCTACCGTAATGTGGGTGAACTCCAATGTGATAATATTTGGAGGTAAGGTGTTCCAGATGGGATAGGTCATGAAGGTAGCAGTATCGTTTATGAAATGAGCATCTGCCTTCTTATGAAAAGTACGGATTAATAAACCATGATCATTCCGCTCAATAAAAGCCGCTCCAGGTCTATGGATATGCAGCACCACCAAGTCCCACTTTGAGACAGTCATGTGGACATTGGTATCAACCAAAGTCACTGCACACAACCTTTCCCTCGGTAATCATGTCCACTTGGTTCTAGTCCTTAAAAAGGTTTTACTGTTAGAATTAAAACCTCATGTTGGCTTCAACTCTGAGTGAATTAATCAATAAAAAGGTAAAAACAAATTCTCTTTTCTTTCTCCTTTCCAGTAACTTCGCCCCTGAAGCTGTGAGGGAAAGTGCCCTCCTTTCTGCCCACACCATCAAGTGATTCATGCCAACTGCTTGCACAGGAGCGAAGTCAGATGTTGAGTTGGTCTGGAGACAGCAGTTCTTGGCACATTAGTCCCAGCAGGCCAAGTGCTGTAAACATGAGCCCCACTCTCTAGCTGTCTAGTGTCGTCAACATTTCTGTGTCTTCCATGCCATGTTGGCGAAGGACCAGAGGTGCTGGGACACGGATCTTAAACTGGCCAGCGGAAAGAAAGAGATGAGAGATGGGGAAAAGGGTGGCAGGGTTGGGGTATGGGGGTGGCGGGGTGGGGGGTGGGTGCCCAGGAGAGGTATTTCATGAGCCTTGATAGAAACAGGATACATATCATGACTTCTCATACTCCATGACTAGAAAGTATCCAAATTGTTTCAGAGGAAGGCTGCAAGACCTTGTATTTAAATCACTGTGAAATACACAAATAGGATTCTGAGAAAGGAAAAGCAAAGAGAAAAGACCTCCCAATAAAACCAGAGTTTCCTAAATCCCTCAAATCATTCTGCTCTATAAAAGGACTGTTTGACAGAGTTCTGGTCATCCTTGGATTCTTGTGTGGTTTTGCGTAGTTTGTTGCTGGGTTCAGGGTTGTATGTGGGGCACACCAAGCCACAGAAATCTTCTGGAATGGAGAAATAAACACCTTCTCAGAAGTGCCATCATGCATCCAGGCTTAGCCAATGAGGGCAAAGTGTGACTCCACTGAGTGTGGCCTCAGTCATTGTCCTGGGTCGTCGGGAAGTCCTGTGGCAGACATAGCAGAGATGAGCAAGGATGGACTCGTAACTACTCACCTAGGGCACGGAGACAGAGACTGGTGACACTCCCCATCCTGCTTCGTAGCCTAGTCGGTTTGAAGTTCCAAACACAAAGGAGTATTTTTAGCATCAGATCTGTAAAGCACATTGTACCCAAGATGGGATTTGAGTGAACTCCAACATAGAAAAGTCATTTTACAATCTGGAGCCATGTCGCTTGGGGAAATGTGTTAAATAATACTTTCCTTTCCAAAAGGATTGGATCTTGTATAATGAGTTTCTTACCTCAATTTTTTTTTCTTTTTGTTTAAAAAATTATCTTCTGCTACAACTGCCATATTTTTAACTATGGTTAGGCTAACTGAAATATCATATTCCCATGGCAGATTTCTTTGTCTTTTGATCTTTGCTCTAACAGGACTCTATAACCAGCAGCCTTTGGATTCTGCCCGAGTGTCCATAGCAAGGCCACATTCACCGAAGTTTGCTTCCGTGAACAGGCCCAGCACAACCCAGTCTACCCTAGACAGTCACTGTTGGCTCTTCTCTGCCTCCCAGGTGCTCTGTCAATGGCCCCGTGCAGCCTGAGAGGATTGCTGGAATATCTAGTTCAAATAAAGAGCAGGTCCTAGAATATCATAGCGAGTCAACCAGGGCAACTCTGTGGTCAGCTCATGCACAAAGCACGACTCTCCTTGACTTCAAGATTCATCCTTCTGTAATGGCCACTGAAAATCAGCTCAAATGAAGAGTTTCAGGATGAATGAATCTGTCTTCAGGGTTCTTTCCCTAAAGAAGACTTTATTGTTCTGAGAGCTTAGGCTCCTGTCTTTAATTTACAGTTTTTCAGTTGAAGGAGACTAAAGGTGAGATATAAAACCCAAGGAGAAAGGGCCATCAGTATATTCTGGAAGCTCAAGCCATTCCAAGTTAAAGGCCCTTGGTCCACAGGTCTGTAGATGCCAGGATATCTGCCTCTCCCCACTTCCCCGACAGTGAACAGGCATCTTGGTGGTATGGCTTCAAATGGAATCGGTAGAATAAGAAGAAACAACATGGAAGAGACATTTCCTCACCCTGTTTTAAAAATTGTGCACCGTCAAACTCCTTAGAAGCAAGTACAATGTATTTAATTATGATTTTTTTTTAGGCCACAGAATTGTAAAGTGGAATTTTATTGTCTAAAGGTCGCATGGGCTGGGGGTCCCAGTCCAGCTTGATAACCGGCTTGTTTGGTCTCCACTGAACAATGTCCCTTCTCGCCTCTGTAAATCTTGAATTCTGAATACAATCGTGCATACTGTATGCCTGGGAGACTTAATGGCATGACCTCATCATGGAAGCAATTTACAGGTACAATACAAGTGTGTGACCATATTCAGAAGTGGTTTTCCTCCAACTATTGTAAACTGGTTTAATCTGTAAGGGGCCATTGAAAGACCAGGGCTTACTCATCTGTCAGTCACGTTTGCTTTTGATGCAAAAGATGGCCCAGATTGTGGAGCAGCTGTGAGGCCGACTCTCACGCAGTTAGGAGGGCTTTGGTGCTTTGGAATACGGCCTTTCCTTGTCCAGCACGGGCTTCCTCGGGTTTCAGAAGTCAGCAGACCAGGGAGAGACTTGGTGGATTCCACAGCCATGTGTGATGTCCACCCATGCTGCTCCTTTGAACTTGCTCCTATGAGTCAGAGCCGAGGGTAACTTCCGTACCTTTGGCAAGAGTGAGAAAGTTTCCGTTCACTCAGACACTTCTTAAAAATTAGGAAAAAAATCTCTCCATCTACTGTCTATGTCTCTTGCTGGATGGCTCTAACAAAGCCGATTTCAGTAGGGCAGGTGCACATAAGAATTCCTAGCAGCTGTGACAGCATACTCAAGACTTCTGCAGGCTCAGACCACACAAAATCCCAGCAGAGAGAGAGAGGAGGTAGGCATGGAGTCCTACCCCTCCATAATGTGCTATTGGCAGTTGATCTGCCAATGGGAAAGGGAGGGTCAGTTTTCGCTAAGGATGTAGTAATGTGGGACTCTGGAGTCTTGGATCAGGCAAGATTTATTAAGACATGAGATCTTTAAGGGACTCACGACACAGGACAGAGCTGAGACGCCACTGCTGATTCAGTCACTGCTGCCCTGCCGTTCAGTTCAAGGGTGATGGAACCAAACTCCAAGCCATGCTTCTCTGCCGCTTCTGTACCAACCACCCAAGAGAAAGTCTGTGACCCTTGCTCCACTGTTCTGTAAGGGATCCTGTATCTTCAGAGAAAACCATGTCCAGAAGGCAAAAAACAAACAAACAAACAAACAAACAAACAAACAAACAAAAAAATGGCTCCATGCAATTGGTTATTTGGTTGGAGGAATTCACACAACAATGCAGTCCCTGATGGGTTGACTCCCCTCCAGTGAGGACCACACATGCAAGAATATATGGTCAGGACAAACTCTACTTGATGGTTTAAAAAAAAAAAAAAAAAGGACAAAAAGTTGGGTGGGTAGGGAAAGGGGGGGCACGAATGTGCAAGGAGTGGGGGTAGAGAGTGAATGTAATAAAAAATAATAGTGTACAGAACTGTCAGAAAACTAACAGAAAAATTAAAGGAGAGATGTTAAGAGCACATGGCTCTTGCAGAGTACGTGATCTTGATTCTCAGCACCGAAGTCAGACAGCTCACAACTGCCTGTACTTCCAGCTGCTAGGGATTTGATGCCCCCTTGTGGCTTCCAAGGGCACCTGCACTCATATGCACAGCCCACACATATAATTCCAATTTAAAAATAATAAAAGTAAGTCTTTAGAAAGGAACAAAATTTATATAAATCTGGTTAAAAAAAAAAAAAACAACTCCAAAATGGCAAGGCAAATACTTGTAAGATAGATGAAAAAGCCGTTGATAAACAGAGATTCTGTAAAGCTGCCATGGAGGTAGACGGATGGGAAATGGAAATTACTTTTAAAACATATAAGAGAACCCAAAGAAGACAGTAAACAAATGCAGTGTTATTTATTCTTTCTAGTAGATATTACAAATCAAAGAAACAATGTAGTGTTCTTCAACTTCCACACTAACAGAAGTATTAAAAATATATGTGTATAGGGCTAGATAGAGTTGCATCAATGAGAATGCATACTACTCCACCTCTTTAAAAATTAGTGTGATCTACTGAGGTTAGAAGCCCAAACAGTTTCAGTAACCCTATCCTGAGAGTTTAATAGCTGTTAAATGGTTTAATAGCTGTTAAATTGAGAAGCTGACCACCAAGGTTGTGTATTTTTACATGCCTGTTAGTCGAGGCAGTTGATACTCATGTGACTTCAAGATCCATGTGTATATAGGTGTGGGCATCTGATCAGAATGGGCATGCCAGAGTATGTATGCCATTCAAGTCTGAGGGCAAACGAGTCTACCCAAGGAGAGTTTCAGAATAGGTTAAGACAGTGTTCTCCATCTCCTGTGGACAGTCTGCATACTTTACTTCGATGTTGGGGAAAGATGTAGATACTCAGATATTCACAAACTCCAGAGTTTTTATGAAGGGAAATGGAGTGATGAAAGACTGGAAGCTAGACTTAGGATGCAACGAAACAATGACCCAAGAAACTTACATTCCCCAACTCCCTCCTTCTCTTCACCCCAAACAAGCATAGGTCTTGTTGATCCTCATCTGACTTGTCAGAACCATGGGTTAATTGGCTCATTTGGGCTGTCCATGCGTTTTTCAATGACAAAGCTTTGTTTTATATTTAAGTCCTTGTGTGTGTACTAAAAAGGATTTGTCTCTTGCTTTTTTTTCATCCCCAATTTCATGTATCAGATAAATGCTGTTTCTAGTTCCATTCCCCCCCCCCCCCCGCCCATGGCTACCTCTGGATTTCTCACTTCTTCCATTATCAGCCTACCCCATTGAATTGGTCCTAGGAAAGTTAAGACTGTCCATTACCATATACTGTCTTTAATTCCCTTCAAACCCCATCCCTAGGAAGTCCCCAGATATCATCACAAAGAACCTAGGACTGTCGTTTTGAATTTAGATTTAGAGAATGAGCCCTTGTCTTACCTTCTCCCTCAACTAGAGGTGGCATGTGACCAACAGCATTCAAGAATCAAAGCCCCATGCTGGCTTCTAGGAAGGTGTCTCAAAACTGCTCAAGGGGCATTTTCTCTTCCTTTCCCTGCTCTCTGGGATGCAGAAGAGATATGGTCGCTGCAACAGCTGTTCTGACAGTGAAGTAAACATGTGAAGAATGATTCCTGTGGTAGGAAAAACAATACAAAACAAACCTAGGTGAGTACAGACTGCAAGTCAGATATGCCCTGTCTGCTCTGAACCGCTTTCTAGCATAGGTAAGTCATGGCTATTTAGGGCCCATGCTGCATGCAGATAGGTTTAATTTTAACTACTATATTGGATAACCTTAGTAACTTAAATTTCTATTGTTTGGTCTTGCCTATTTAGGTTCCTCTAAAGATTATTCTCTTGAGTTTCAAAAGGAACATCTTAGTTTTTATTTAATATGGAACTTATAAGAATAAGAATATACACTTGGCTCAGAAAGTTAGCACCTATTGTGAAGAAATGTTTAATGAAAAAAATTATAGATGTAATTGGTATTTGTGACATGAGATAAAGCTAAGGAAGACATTTCTTTTTCTATTTTAGTTTTAAGTGTGTGTGTGTGTGTGTGTGTGTGTGTGTGTGTGTGTGTGTGTGTGTATGCGCAAGCACTTGAGGGGCTTGTAAGTGATGGTGCCCACAGAGGCTAGAGGTGTCAAACCCTTTGAAACTGGAGGTATAGGCAGTTGTGAACTACATGCAGTGGTGGCTGAGAAACTCAGGGCCCTGGAAGAGCAGTCTGTACTCTTAATGCCTAGACCATCTCTCCAGCCCAGAGAGACAGTTCTAGGCTTTCTGTGGAAAAGCATGCTCCCTTCTTATCATCTTATGCTCTTCTGTCAACTTTAATAAAAGTTAGGTAACAGATCCTACTATATAAAACCATTGAAATCTCAATTTTGTCTTAAAAACTTGAAATCAATAAAATATATGCAATTATTGACATTTAAATAGTATGTACTACAAACCACGATGATGTTAAGCTTTCGTTTCTATCTCCCTGGGTCCAGTTTAAAAATCTGTGTGACTTTAAAACAAGTATTTCTATGAGGCAATAGAAGGAGTTCTTCCTGCAGTGAACTGGTGGCTGTGAATGATACCAAGTTTCTGCTTACTTCCTAGCTGGGCTATGACTCGGTTGTATTTTTGTTGTTATAGCGAAGGCCTTGTTTTCCCTAGACTGTTTGATTGGCTCCTCTTTCTCTTGATGGGAGAGAAAATATGTGCTTTCTCTCTGTGAGGCCCGATCAGTGATCTCATCCAGCTTCTTAGTCACTATTTATTCCTTGGATTCTATTTCACTCCATCTTGAAGACATTCTCCTTGGAGCCCGCTGGCTTCCTGTTCTTACGTTGGTCGCTATCCAAGCTTACAGTGCAGTCAACTTCCTGGGATTTGGTTCAGCGGAACTCCTGAGTTGTCTCGCCATTTCTCCCCTTCTGTGGCTGACTTGGCTCTGGTTTCACTTTTGCTTGATCTGTGAACCAAGCAGTTTCCTCTGAAAAGCACACGGGAATAGACTGTCTTGGTGGTGTCGGTCTGTAGGTAGTCCTCCTTGTCATACTACTTGGTGGGTAACAGTTGGTCTTAGACGGTGGCTGTGGAGAGTCATGGGAACTTTAGAGGCCATTTCCTCTTTGGGGACAGACCTCCTGTGAGGGCTGAACTTCATGTCATTGTTTGAGTAAACTCTAGTCCACATGCAATGCAAGGTGAATTGCATCAAATTCCATTTCTCCACTCTACCCTCGTTCTGATTTGTTTATGTTTCAAGTTGATGACCTCCATTAACTAAAAGGTGTGAGGTGCCTAAGTACCTTCAAGGAACGAGTGGAAGTCCGGGATTAATTTGGTGTCTTTGGAATTCTAGAACATAGCTGACATAATCAAATATGTTTTGACCTGAGAACAAGATTCTTAGTCATACTAACCATCCATATCATCCAGTCCTCACAACCTTGAGAACCCTGATATGTTTTGTATATTGGGTTACCCTTGTCTTAGATCACAGACACCATGGATATTATGCTCTTTTACATATCTATCATGTGTATGTACGTTCATGTGTATATGCATGTATATACACTTGGTATCTTTACCTTAGTTTTGGAGACAAGGTCTTTCACTGAACCTGGATTCTACCCATTCAGCAAGAATATCTAACCAACAAGCTCTAAAAATTCTTACCAACACAAGCTCCTGTGTACTAAGATTATAGCTAGCCAACACCATGCTTACTTAACCTTTGTTATGTGGGTGTGAGGTTCAAAGTCAAGTCCCCATGCTGGTGAGACCAGAGCTCTGAACCATTTTCCCAGCCCAAATTATTAAGGTTTTTTTTTGGGGGGGGCGGGGAGGAGCATGCAAAGTAGCTATGACATTTTAAAAGTACATATCAACATACTTTCTTACGCTATCAGGTCAGTTTACATAATAGCTATTGGCCCCTGATATTTCATTTTAATTTTCCACCCACTGACCTTCACTCAGTTCCTTGACTATAAACCTCAGCCACGCTTATCTTAGTGCAATTCAAGTTCACTTTTCTTCCCCACTGCAAGATCCTGTTGCAATGTTACCTACATCAGTCTTGACAGGCCTTGCTTAAAAGCCTTCCTGACCAGCCCTAAAAGGTGTTGAGTACTTTTGTTCCTTTGTAAAGATAATGCACTCCATCAACATGAAAGGAAGCATCTAGAATGTGGTATTTTGTGATTATTATACAGACTGTGTTCTCTGGGTCTCAGTTCACAATAGGACTAAATTTAGAACATTTTACAAAACCAGCTTGTAGATTTGTGATCTGTTCAAATGCAGGACACCCGAGAGAAAACTTTTGAGTCTTCCTGCATACACTAGAAGCACTCAGGATGGTTGTGAGGAAGAGACACAAGGTTCAGTGTATCTTATCACCCACCCCCAAATCTATTCAACCACCGAATTAGAAAACAATAAAAAGAAGTGTCATGGATCAATAGGAAATGACTAAGACAATTGTTTTAAACTGTAGGAAGATAAACTGAATAGTAATGTTTCTAACTCAGTATGACCAAATAGGAAAATAAAATAAGACAAAACAAAAACAAACAAGCAAAAAACCAAAATACTGGTTTCCAATTCAGTAAATAATGATCATTGTTTTGAATGTATTAAAAATTATTTTAAACTTACTTTCCAAAGTTAACATTCACATTTGTGCTTTTTCTAAGCCAAAATAATTCACAAGTTAAAATTTGGATTGAGTTAAAATGTCTCTATGGTCTTTCTTCATTAATTTCAGGAAATGGTCGAGTTAAATTAAAAACTTTTTGCCTGTGGATTAACTTAAAAACTCAGAAACTAATATTAATGTTGCTTTTCATGCTTAAAAACTTGTGAGAAAACAAAATTTGCTTCATGCTATATAATAGATCAAATTATAATGTATTTTAAAATAGGTTAAAATTAGCAATAATTATTAACTATTCTGTTTGTGTCTTTTATACATGAATGATTAAATGGGATTTTAAAAGAAGATATATTTAGTTTTTTTTTTTTTTAATCTTTTATTCACTAGAAGGGCAGGGCATACATGCAAGGCTCCGTGACAGTGAGTGCCATTTCCAGACATTTGAAGGTCACAATATAAGGTAGAAGAGAGAGCCGGACTCTATCTGGGTACCTCTTAGTGCCAAGCACTCTTGCTCTGCCTTATTCATGTGTGCCCATGAGTCTGGAATCAGCAAAGTCCATCTTACTTGCCTGGAGTTGACTGACTGGCCTAGATGTCAATGAGGAACTGCCCACGTGAGTGTGGCAAGGTTGACAGCCTTCCAAACGATGGGGCATGGACTGCCTGCCACTCACAATGGCAGAATCTTTTCTCCCTGGAGACATGGACGTTGAGTCCCTTGAGTTAATTTCTCAAGTGGAACACTTTCACTCCTTGGGCCTCTGAATTGGGGTGACTGTACAGCAGCTGAGGTGACTGTACAACCTCATTCCTCTTTGTCCTTCATTTTGACAACTGAGTCATCCCCCAAAGATAACTTAGGGTTCCTGTTCTTCTATCCTAAAATAGCCTGGCGCAGGCACGCTGCTGAATATAGCAGACACTTGCACTATTTTTCTTCCATGATCCTTCGGGCAGCGTTTTACATCTACTTTTTGGAAAAACAACAGCAAAACAACCTTGGTTTTCTTGGCAAACAACTCTGCATAGGATAGTGCTGTTCTCTCTGCATAAGCTCTACTTCAAGGCCCTCATCACAGCACCATGCTTTACGGATGACATCAACATCAAGATTTGGCCTTCAGAGCTCAGAAGAAGACCCTCACAGTTTTTCTGTCTCTCTGACGACTCCCTCAGTTTAACACATGCCGGTAGGTACTCATCATTTTTTCCCGTCCCTGTCCATTCTTGCCCTTCCCTCAGTCCAGAGATTGACATTGAATTTCCTCCTTCACGAGTCTCCTGCTGTCTTTGAGCAAATCACGGCCCAACATCTTCCCAAGCTCCCCCAGGTCTCAGATATTCTAATTACCTGCAATATTGAGTGACTCATTTCCAAAGGAAGGGTCTATTTAATTCAACTATTGAGATATTCACATTTTAACTTAATCACAGTGATGATTCCTGTCATGTGAAAATATGTAAAGAGTATGTTCAGGTACCAGCTCAGGAAATAGTTTAATTAAAATCTCTGTAAATTGTGCTTTGTGACCTTTGCTTTTTCAACCCAATCCAACTATAATCACTTGCCTGGGGTAGGTCCTGCTTATTTTGGTGAATTTCATTAACTTCTGTGAACACATATGCCCAGGTATCCTTGCCAGTGTTCTTTGGGTCTTCACTGGGATTCAAGATGCTTCACATGACTCTTTATTTTGTCCTAGGGAATCATTCTTTTTGGGGACATCTTACCTTAGTTTTCTTCCTATGTTACTCTTTTAGTTTCTCCTTTGATTTTGAAGAATGATAATCTTACAAAATTTTGATTGACAGTCATTAAATATCATTTCAATATGTCAGTGGACTATTTTCTGACTTCCCAAATTTCTGATGAGATATCAGCTGGGAATCTCATCCCGGAATCTGATAATGTGATTAATCAAAACTGTTGATACTCCAGAACCTCTCTGTTTGTTTTTTCATAGTTGGACTACAATGTGTTTGGGAGTGGCTGTTTTGAATTTCTACATTAAAACATCATTGAATTTCTTGGGAAATGAAGATCTGGTGCTTTTCTGCATGAAGTTTGGAAGTTTTCTGCTGTTTTACGGTCAGAAACTCTGTCCCTGTTGACTCCTGCACTCTGTGTGTGAGTAAGCTTGATGATGAGGCACAAGCATTTTTCTTCACTCTGTTTTTCTTTGCTATTTGGACAGAATAATCTCTGTTGACCCGACGACAGTCTGTGGAGTCTTTGGATCTGCTGCTAACGTCTATGGTGGCTTTATAATAGCTTCGCAATAATACGTTTTTAATTCCAGAGTTCCTGTCTGATTCTTTTCTATAATTTCTGTCCTTTTGTTGATGCTCTACATTTGGGGAGCCAGCCTTACACTTCCCTTTAATGCTTTTGATTGGTTCCTTGCCCCTACTGATAAGTGTTCACTTACTCAACCCATCATTTCAACCTTCTCAAGGACAATATCTGTATGGTTTTTATAAAGAAAGTATGCATGGCTCATGTATTCCTGTTTCTTTGCATGTATCCTGATTCTTGTTAAAAATGGAAGATTTAAATAGCATAATTAAAAAAAAAAAAAAAAACAGCCAGGCGGTGGTGGCCCATGCCTTTAATCCCAGCACTCGGGAGGCAGAGCCAGGTGGATCTCTATGAGTTCGAGCCAGCCTGGTCTACAGAGCGAGATCCAGAACAGCCTCCTCCAAAACTACACAGAGAAACTCTGTCTCAAAAAGAAAACAAACAAACAAACAAACAAACAAACAAAACAAACCTGAAATCAAATGTCTTCCTCCCAGGATTTGTTGCTGTTATGGTTAGTCTTGGATTTTCCTAGACTGATTTTCTAAAGTCTGTGTTATTATGTGCGGCCACTGAAATCTCTCCTAGGTTAGCTTTTTGGTCAGCTAATGGTTATACAAGGACTTCTTTAAATGCTTTCCACTGATTTACGACCCCAGCTTGTTCAGGAGCTGCATGTGTTGCAGTATGCCTCCAGCATGTCAACAGATAGTGTACAGATCAGAAGTAGCCATCATTTCCTGCTTGCACAAGACCTCAGGGCCAACCCAAGGTTAAAAAAAAAAAAATCTTTGCATGTCTTTCCTGTCTTCACATCCCACCCTGTGATCATCTCCTACACCACAAGGGATGTGTAAGAAAGTCTGAAAGCCCATTACGAAGTCTCCTTCTCCAGGTTTTCCTTCAAAGGTTTTTCTTCTTCTTTCTATTAGCTCCAGTTGACACTCTTCCCTTGGAAAACCATTTTTGAGAAACAATTGCTATTGATTTTTTAAAATAAAATATGACTATTTGCAGAGCTGCAAGTTGCCAGTCGGGCAGTAAAGGCAAGTCCTAAGGACAAACTTTCTTAGACGGGTCAAATAGTGAACATTCTCTGTGAGTGATTCACTTAGAAACCTCCAACCCCCCACCCCCCACCCCCCACAGCCCTCCAGGGCCTGCTACGTTGTTGGTTTTCCCAGACCCGATAGTTTCAGTACTGTCTGCAAGAGCCAGGGAGATGCGAAGCGGAGATAGTCACGGGGCAGGTGAGATGTCACTAACCGATGGTTGTTATGGTCACCGGCTCTATTCTTCATGAACATTCTTCCTAGGGGTTTGCAATCCATTGGTTAATTTCCAGAGTTCTGAAGAAGTTTGAGATCGACTCCCGCTTCTCCACCCCCTCCCCCATCCTTAAATGTGTTCTTTTGGAGAACTAACAGACTTTTAGAGATTTCTGAAATATTTGGGTATGGTTTCTTCTCTGACATCTTTTGCAATGTAAATGCTTTGCCTTTCGGATTGAGGGCTGATAGGAACTTGAAACAGTTTCTTAGTGTGTGTGAAGCGGGAAACCAGATTCCTGCCTGCCTCCCCTATTTTTCCTATGCCCTTCCTCGTTTTTGGTGTCTTTCCTTAAGGTGACTCGGTTGCCTGTCTTTCCCGGAGTGGGTGTGATCCAGTGCGTTGCTCTCAAGCGTCCACCGTCTCTGATGTGGAGTAACCTCAGCTTTCTCCTCATACTGTCCACTTGTTGCTAACCTAATGGGTTTTTTTTTTTTTCCTGCTTTCTCTTCCGGTAGCCAATGCCTCTCCTTGCTTGCACAGCGGGATCCCTGTGTTTCCCTCATAGGTTTAACCAGCGGCCGCTGCCATCGCTCTGAGTTCAGCGAGAACCTTAGCCCTGTGCTTTCCGCCTTGCTTTTCAACTGTAGTCTTTTGAGAATTCGCTCTCACAAACTTTGCTCCACGTTAAAAAATACATAGTTTAAGCCGGGCAGTGGTGGCGCGCGCCTTTAATCCCAGCACTCGGGAGGCAGAGGCAGGCGGATCTCGGTGAGTTTGAGGCCAGCCTGGTCTACCAAGTGAGTTCCAGGAAAGGCGCAAAGCTACACAAAGAAACCTTGTCTCGGGAAAAAAACAAAAAATAAATAAATAAAAAAAATACATAGTTTAACAATTTTTTTTTATTGTTCATTCTTAGTGTTTTCAACGACAGAATTTTTTCCCCTGTGAATATTTTTTTTTTTTTTGCATATTGCCAGGAATGAAGTCTTGTATTCACATTTGATTCTTTTGACTTCTGTTCTGTTTCCACACTACTTCATTATGGTTTCTTGAGAACAGTGGCTGCCAGGGTGATAATTTATGCAAGCTAATGGTGAGCAGGAGAGGCAATGCAAAACCTGCCTTAGAAATGTTCAAATGCCACACCAAGCTCCTAGCACATTTACCGAGCCTTTCCTGCCTGTCACACACCTTGCTGTGTTCTTGGCATGTGTCACCTTTATCTCTCACGTGGCTCATTCATCACCGAGTGTACAAAGGAGGAGGAGAGAAGTAGGTTCCCCACCACTGCCTGGACTCTGGGAGGTAGAGCTGGAAATGAATGCAAATCCATCTGACTCCAGACTATGCGTTTTCCTCACGGTATCTGTCTCCCAAAGATCTGCAAAACGCTTTGAGACATCTGGGAAGGATGCTCCGTTAGTTCAGACACAGCTTCCTGACGTGCACTCCAACTGAAGAGCGATCCTGCGTTGGAATGCCAGGGAGACAGACAGACATAGGAATCAAAGTGGCCACAAGTTTGGGGGCAGATAATTATTTCCTGTTTTTGCTTAGAGTTCTTCCGTTTAAGGCACCAAATTTAACCACCTGCTAATAATATGTGGGAGGCATTTTTGGATCATTCAGAGTCATGCATTTTAATTTTTATGTAGTAGACACACAGCCCACACATGAGCCAATAATTCGAAAAGGGAAAGAAATTTTAAAGTACACATGTCAGAGATTAACAGTGGCACCGCTTCAGTGACTCTTATGGTAACAAATGGTTTTTCCTGGTCATACCTAGGGAAGCCTGAGGTGCTCCTGAAACTTTTCCTAAAATAAACAAATCTTTATTTGTTAAAATAATAATAATAATAATAATAATAATAATAAATAATAATAAATAAAGGAGCAGTGGGCTGGTGAGACTCCTAAGTGGGTAAAGCTTGTTTGCTGTCAAGTTTGATGATCTGAGCTCAATCCCTGGGGTGCACAGGATGGAAGGAGAGAACTGAGTCCTACAAGTTGTCTTCTGACCTCCCCATGTGCGCTGGGGCCATAGGCATGAACCAGCAGGCACCCTCACGTGTACAGACATATGGCACACAAATAACTTAATTAGTTAGCTTTGAAAAGAAAGGTAGCTGGGCGGTGGTGGCACACGCCTTTAATCCCAGCACTTGAGAGGCAGAGCCAGAAGGATCTCTGTGAGTTCAAGGATAGCCTGGTCAACAGAGTGAGATACAGGACAGGCACCAAAACTACACAGAGAAACCCTATCTCGAAAAAAACCAAAAACAAAAAAATAAGAAAAGAAAAGAAAGGTAAATCCTGAAGATCTTTCCCATGTCATAGTGACAGAAGCAAGCACTAAGGTAGTTAATGCTTGAAAACTACCAGAAGAATAAACCTTAGCTGTTTTTTGCACAAACACCTAAAATACCTACGCAAAGGAATGAATATGCTAATTAGTTTGATTATAGTAATCACTTCATAATATACACATATATCAAAACACTGTACCATAAATATATGATTTTCAATTATGCTTTAATAAAGCTGGGGAAAAAATGAAACTGAAATTAATTTATTCTGCAATATCCTCTTGTACAAGCTAATTTGATAAGCCAGGGTGGAACCAAAACCAAGGAAGAGGTAAAAGGGAAAGATGCTGCTTTTACTAATAGCTACATGGAAAAGATCAGCTAAGGAGACCAAATATGTAATGTCTCAGTAAGAACGATTTGATTGGATGAGTGGAAACAGTGGAAGCTTTATTGCCACCGTTCTACAAAGATTCAAAGTGCAGGTTAATTTTTTTAATATAATATTAGCGTATAAAATTAATCATACAAGTTTGTGGTACAAAATAAGTGTTTTCTGCTCAAACCTTTACTGTCCTGCCTTTAGAAATGCTGCTCTCTGTCCTCCACAGCCCTACCTCTTCCGTTCCTTTGACACTCACCTCCTCTCCTCTTGGGTCCACACTGTTGCTAAAATAAAAGGATGAGTCACCACCGTGGGGCCAGAATGGAAAACTCATGTGGATTTTCCAAGTATTAAAAAACCATGCTAAGTAAATGGTCAGCGAATTGCAGAGCCTAATGGAAGGCTTTCTGATGAGTTGGAGGCCTTTCTTAATCATCTCTAATGGAAAGATGAAGGCGATGCTTTAAACCATTGCCAGTGATTGCATCTGCCGGGGATTTGACGGTCCATCGCTTGCCGTCCTCAGCTCGCCTTTATTAAACACTAACACCAAAACAGAATCCTCGTCGACCATCTCTAGGGTACGCTGGTGTACTCTATCTAAGGATCTGTTACTGGCGGGTCAGGAAGAGTGGTGCCTCCAGTTCCCATGGACACAAAGCCTCCTGCAGATGGTAACCCGGCCCAGCGTCCCTCTTATCTATTGACCTCACTTGTCAATCGTATGGTTTCTTGCTATTATTTTTATGAGAGTCTCGGGTTAGGGGAATATGAAAATGGCGAGCAGGGGAACAGGATTTTAATTACCTTAATGGAGAAGCGGGTTAATTAGGGCTGAGAAACCACAGTTCGGGGCTGTACACGAGCCCTATCTGATGAGAATATATCCTCTGAACAACAACTCTGAATTTCATTTATCTGATCCAGGGTGTGGCAGACAGACCCTGGCAGGTTTTTCCTAGGTATTAAATTGCATGTGTAGGAAACTGAAAGGCTGAAAGCATCTTGATCCGAAATGGCTAATGTAGAGCATGGCAGATGGTGCATGCTGGGAAGCCCGTCATGGGGAAGCAATCCCATCAGTGAGTTTGAGGTTGGCCTGTTGCATGACAGCATCCTGTCTCACAAAACCAAGACAGAAAGAAAGAGAAAAGAGTGGAATGCCTAGTTTTACGTCAATTTGACACAAGCTACAGTCGTCGTTTTGGAAGAGAGAACCTCAATTGAGGAAATAGGGCAGGTTTGTGGGGTGTTTTCTTAATTAATGTCTGCGGTAGTTTGAACGTAACTGGTCCCCATAAGCTCATAGGGAGTGGCACAATTAGGAGGTGTGGCTTTGTTGGAGGAAGTGTGTCACTGTGGGGGTGGGCTTTGAGGTCTCATATGTGCTCAAGCCACACCCAGTGCTTCAGTCCACTTCCTGTTGCCTTCTGATCAAGATGTAGCCAGCACCTTGTCTGCCTGCACGCAGCCACGCCCCCAGCCGCCACGCCCCCAGCCGCCATGCTCCCTGCCATGATGATAATGGACTGAAGCTCTGAAACTGTAAGCAGCTACCTCAATTAAATGTTTACTTTATAAGAAGTGCTGTGGTCATGGTGTCTCTTCACAGCAATAGAAAACCCTAAGACAATGTGGGTAGGCCCAACTCACTTTGGGCTGTGTGACCCTGGGTAGTATAAGAAAGGCTGAGCAAGCCATGAGGAGCAAGCCAGGAGGCAGCATTGGTCCATGGCCTCTGCTTCAGCTGTTGCCTCTAGGTTCCTGCCTTGAGTTCCTGCCCTGACTTCCCTGGATGATTGACTACAACCATAAGCTAAAGCAAAGCCTTTCTTCCCTAAGTTGCTTTTGTTCATGGCATTTTATTACAGCAATAGAAGCCCTAACTGAGACAGGGAGGGAAGGAGGGAGGAGAAGAGAGAAGGGAAAAGAAAAAAGAAGAGAAGGAAGAGGGCCAGAACAAACTTCTTGTGGAAATTAGTTACTCATGGAATGGGATTGAGAGACAAGGACATTTGGAGATAGGTCATGATGCTACACTCACTAAAAGGGTTAGTGCCTGTGGTAGTTTGAATGTAATTGGACCCCATAGTCTCATAGGGAATGCCACTATTAGGAGGTGTGGCTTTATTGGAGTGGGTATGGCCTTGTTGGAGGAAGTGTGTCACTATGGGAGTGGACTTTGAGTTTCCTGTGCTCAGAATACCATCCAGTGTGTCAACCAACTTCCTGTCGCCTACAAGATGTAGGGCGCTTAGCTATTCCTCCAGCATCATGTCTGCCTGCTGCCATGCTTCCTGCCATAATGAGAATGGACTGAGCCTCTGAAACTGTAAGCAAGCCCCTTCAATAAAATGGTTTCAATGATAAGGGTTGGTGTGGTCATGGTGTCTCTTCACAGCAATACAAACCCTAACTAAGACAGTACCTTTGTTTGAATGCTTTATGAAGTTTCTCTGTCCCCACTGCCCTCCTGGCTTGTAAGGACTCAGCAGCAATCCTTAGAACAAAAAGAAAGCCCTTTCCAGGTATCAAACCTGCTGGCAGATGATCTTGGGCTCTGCAGCATCTAGAGCTGTGATCACCTCAGCCTGAGGGGTTTCTCTTCTCAGCTGGAACAGACTAAGGCAGTCTGGGGCAATCTAGGAAAAGGCTGTAAAGCAAATAGTCATTAATTTTACTTGGTTCTCTTGTGATAAACTCACATTTCAGAGGACACCAACCTTCCATTTCTATCCTAACTGCCACAGTGACTTATTCTTAATTTAAAATATATCTTGAAACAGCTCTTTGCATTTCACTAATGACATTCACACACCCAAAACTATTTCAGAAAAACGTCTTACTCGGATCATTCTATCAATCCATCCCTCAGGCGAGGGAGATGTACCAGCTAGCTCCTCAGAGAGGACTCCCCTTGCGTTTGTGGTGACATGGAGCTCTCTCTCTTGCAGTTGAGTGTTAATTCCCTGGCAGCTCGATAGTGCCTTGAGTCAATGACCGCATGATTGCCATTTTCAGGCACTATTATTTCCCCAGTCTTCCATGGAATGTATTGT